GCATCCCCGCCAACATCTGTCGTTTCCTGACTTGTAAATTTTAGCCATTCTGATTGGTGTGAGGTGGTATCTCATTGAGGTTTTGATTTGGATTTCCCTGATGCTGAGCGATATTGAGCACTTTTTCATGTGGGCATTTGACATTCTTTTGAACTGTCTTTTGACGCTTTCATAATGTCTGCCTGATTCTCTGCTGGAGCACCCAGAACACTAATGATCACGTAGGAGCCATTAAATAATATATATTTATCAAGTGAATGAGGAATAAATGAGCTTTATGCCAATTTATTTTTTATAAATATGAATAGATAAGAGGCATCTTATTTTTTACTGCTCCTAAAGTTAAAGGCTGATTATTTAATTCTAATTCTCTCCACGTCAACTTTATTTTTTCTTAAGAGCCCAGTTTTCTCATTCTTCAATCATTTGACTGCTCAGTTATATCATCTCTTGATTTTCCTTGTCCTTAAGTGGGTAGAATAATACCAAGCACAGTACTGTGTACATTTGACCAACGTGTCTTGTGAAAAGAGATGACTTCCCTGATCTTTTGTGCTCTTGTCTCATCAAAACTCAAACAAAATTGCTTCCCTCTTGGTGCTTTCAAGATGATGCATGAGAATTACCAAAAGCACATCTGCACAACTTTTATGTCCTCTGGATAGTGGACCTACGTCCGTGCTGTTAGTAACCCAAGAGCAGATCGGCCAGTTTGCTGATAAACTGTCTAATCTGACATTTTTTTCCTTCTTCTTCTCACTGCTTCAGTTGGGGCCATATTAAATCCCATATGCATCGCCCTAAAGAGTAAAAGGAAAACAAAAATAAATGCCACTTTTTCCCCATGTCCTGTTGCTATTTTGCTAACGTTGGCTATTATATAACGAGGAAAATATTGAAACGAATGACAAAAATGTGGCTCGTCTTTCTATTTCACCTCCCCAGCTTCTTCTGTTTCTCCTCACTGTGGTGGTGTGGTTGATGGTTGTTCATTTAAGGTAGTTAATGTAAATGGGAAGACAATGCAGTTGGAAGGACAAGGGTGCCTTCTGCTCTCCCTGAGGTTGGTCCTAACACTAAACAATGAGGCAGGAAGAATGAAACCATCACTAGTCAAGCTTTGTCTCTCCCTTGTTCATTTGTGAACTGTCAGACCCTTGTTAGCCCCTTTTGCCCCTCCATATGGTGAGAGATGGCCGTCAAGGATTTCACCAGGGGCAACAGATGGGCAAGCATTTTGTCATTATTTTCATGACTATTTCCTTCCATAGTGATCAAACTGAGTTTTACATGTTAGCCACCTAAGATCCTTTCCTCGCCGCTCTTGCTTATAGAAGAGGTGCAGGTAGATTTCATCTTAGTATTCTGTATTTTTAAAAAGTCAGGTTTCAGCTATAGCTGTATCTTCCAGGTGGTGAGATTGGCCTGGTGCCTTGTTTTGATACCATTACATTGGTGGTTTCGGATGGAGAAGCTGGCCCTTCTGTGAATGGCTGTTGCTACAACGGGCCTCATCCATCTGTTCCTCTTCATGAGTCCTTTCCAGTGTATGACCTCAATATCACGGTACATCCAGTGGACAACCAATCACCTTCAATTGCAATAGGTGACAATGTTTTTTTCTATTACAGTTCCATTATCTCATCTCGTGTCATACCTGTGGGTTAGTGAAATAATGCACTTGAATTATAGTTAAAATGGAAAACTACCATACAGAATTGCCTGCGAGAATTGCCTCCACACGACTTGTGGAAAACTCCATATTTATAAAAGATTACAAGGCAAAAGAATTTATTGGTTTAAAAATGTGGGTAATTCTGTATGGAGAGAGAATGCAAGTGTGTTTGCAAGTGATGAGTGTGTGTGTGTTGGGATGAGGACAACATTGGAATCCTCAAATATTCTGGTTTTATTTCATGTGGGAAAATATCATTTGCCTGCTGGAGAGAGAGAGTAATTTATTTTATCCATAATAATTTCTATTATAGAGCAGAATGAAAATACCAGAGAGACCATTTATATACATTTAACCTTATTTGCTTTTTAGAAAGTCATCGCTTAATAGGCATTATGTATATGTTCTGTCTCTTAGAAAAAAATAGAAGCATATGTATGGATGTTATTGTAATTTGCAAACTATCTCCCAAGCAATGTTCTGGAAAGGAAGCATTATCCCTGCAGAATAATTAAGCACCAAGGCATGAAAAAATGTTCGTTATGAGCAATTCATAATAGCTCACAGGCAATTAACGCTCTGACAAACAGAGGTAACAACTGATCTTGAAAAGTACATAAACTACATTTAGTGGCTTATCATTAAAACAGTTTGGCAATTCTTATTTTCATTTGTCACTTCTATAGAGACACAAGGGAAATCAGAGTTCCTTGAGAATGACTAAAGGGCTGTGCTAGAGCATTTAGTATTTCTGCTGTCTTTCCATTATTGTCTGGCTTGCTTGTACAAGAAAAAAAATATAATTCCACAAGTCAAATTAAATTCCACACATTACCCCTGAATATTTTCACTGTAAGGAGAAATTATGCCAAAGGAAATGAACATCTCCCATGGAAGTATATTTGCATATGGGAGGCTTCTCTGAATTGGAATTGCAATCACTCCCTTTTGTCTTCACTATTCTGATTAGAGGATTTCACGCTAAGTCATAATTGCGTTGTTGTTTGCATGCAGGTACCATGTTCGTGGTAGATGAGGGTTTCTCTGCAGCCGTTACCATTAACCATTTGTCCGCCACTGATCCTGACACTGCAGCAGACGACTTGGAATTTGTTTTGGCTTCCCCTCCCCAGTTTGGCTACCTTGAAAACACGCTTCCTTCTGCAGGTTTTGAAAAAAGCAATATGGGCATAAGCATAGGTAAGTCATGGCTTCATGGTCGGTGATAACTCGCCTCTGTCTATGGATCTGACTGGCCAGATCATGCTGAATGACTGAGTAGGAACCTCAAAAATGTTCAAAGCACTGTGTACACTCAAGGAATTATTATTATAGTGGATACTTTTGAGTATTATTGTTTCTCATTTTAATTTTCTATTTTGAATTGCCCCACGTATGGGAGTTTACTTCAAACTAAATGGAAATTTCACTTATGAAAACTATAAGAATAAATATGTAAGAAAGAATGTTTTAAAAGACCTTCAGAGCAACACAGAATACTGTGATAGAATAAATCTGGTGGGAGCTTATAGATCTCCTTCTCTTAATCTTTTAGCACTTTTTTTTTTTTAAGATTTTATTTATTTATTTGAGAGAGAGAGAATGAGAGACAGAGAGCACGAGAAGGAAGAGGGCAGAGGGAGAAGCAGACCCCCTGCTGAGCAGGGAGCCCGATGTGGGACTCTATTCAGGGACTCCAGGATCATGACCTGAGCCAAAGACAGTCGCTTAACCAACTGAGCCACCCAGGCGCCCAATCTTTTAGCACTTTTAATAGACATTGGCAGAAAAGACTAGGATGTGTATCATGGGTGTAACAGAGAGAGCCTGAAATGTTGAAGGTGATGACTTTAAATTTTGGAACCAAAATGTATCTCAGATATTTATTTATTTATTTTTAAAGATTGTATTTATTTGACAGAGTGAAACACAGCGAGAGAGGGAACACAAGCAGGGGGACTGGGAGAGGGAGAAGCAGGGTTCTCACTGAGCAGGGAGCCCGATGCAGGGCTCGATCCTAGGACCCTGGTTTCATGACCTGAGCCGAAGGCAGACGCTTAACGACTGAGCCACCCAGGCGCCCCTATCTCAGATATTTAAATAGCTCTTGTATTTCAGGCAATAACAACTGAAACAAAAACAGACACCCAAATCAAAATTATTCAAATACAACACTTTATTTATTTATTCAAAGACAACACCTTAGAAATAAATGAACTAGATGATTCTTTAAGCACCTTTTGGGGCATATCCAGTTTAAAGGTTTAAGATTAATTGGTTGGGGGGCGGAGCAAGATGGCGGAGGAGTAGGAGACCTGGATTTCGTCTGGTCTCAGGAATTCAGCTGGATAGGGATCAAACCATTCTGAACACCT